TCCTGCTGTCATGTGTATACGTGTGTGATTATCTGCACACATCACACCTGATCCTTATATCCATTTGGCTTCTTGATTGCAAGATCAGAAGCTACCGATACTATTAAGCAGAAGTGTATTTGAAATACATCACATAACTTCCAGCACTGAAGTTTCCTTCAGTGAAAGATGTGAAAACCATGCTCAGGAGATGACAGGGCTCAAAGCTGCATGAATAGTTTATTCATTGTTTTGCAGCCACTGTTGTCCCATCTCCTGCAGGAATCACTGTCTCTGCCATTGTCCAGATTGGGTGTCCTTTAGCTCTCTTCTTTTGTGCCTTATATACTCAAGAAGCTAGCCAAAGACACATGCACAAGCCCCAAGTGCTAAACAGCAGGCAGAGTAAACACCACCCCTACTTCCTTTTTTTGGCTGGAGGCGTAGCACTGCCTACCTTCCATATGGAACAGTGCCAATTATGGGATAAGCACTGTGGGAGGTAGATGCTAGACCATCAAAAGTGTCTACTATGTTTTTCAATTCACTTTATTTTTTCTTTGAATTACTTCATTAAGCTATAGCACCAAAACAATTATATATTTCTAACACATCAAGGGTCTGATTTGTTCAATAGCTTTTTTACAAGTTTTCTCTACCGAAAGATTATGTAGTTCATGTATTTATTTTCAACCAATAAATTTCAATTGGAGCAGAACTGCCCATGCACTGAATGTGTACTAGAGATCCACTGTAAAGGACTGAAATTATAGTATGATGAGGTTTACAATGAAACATCAAATAAGTGCCAAGAATGTACAAAGAAGGAAACAAGATTTCCACAGAAAAATCAGGACACATGTTTATAGAGTAGGAGACATTCGACTTGGGTCATGAGGAGATGAGATAAACATGTAATAAAAGAAGAACAATATATAGCAAGGGTCAGCTGATATTAGAAATAATTATCAAAGCAGCTGCTCCATTTGTGAGCAGAATAGGATGGCAGTACACTGGATTTACCAAAAGCTTTATGGAGAATTGCTGCAGATGACTTTGGAGAGGTAACAGGGGTCTTTATAAATGTTCAGATTACAAAGAATTTGGCTACTAAACTGTAGGCAAAAGGCAACTCACACAAGTCTTCACCTAAGAAAACATTGCTGGTCTTTAGAAAGATCATTTCAGTTCAGTGAGGACAGAAATGGCAGAAGAGTCCTGCAGAAAGACTGGTTAGTTGCTCTCTATCATTGCAGGGTCAGCATACAACATCTGCATTTAGAGTCAGTGTCACATGAGGTTAAACTTAATCTAGGGACAAATATTTAATTGATTGAATACAGAAACTATTTTTTTTTGTCTTTTTCGTTTTTATCGGTGCCAGGGATTGAACTCACGACTGCCTGCTTGCAAGGCAGGCGCTTATGCCGCTGAGCTAAATCCCCAGCCCCTGAATACAGAATCTTAAAATGAGAAGTTCAACATATTTGCTTACAAACTCCTTTCAAACATTTTCTGGTTTCTGTGGAAAACCTTTTACTGGTGCTCGCTGGTGTTTAGGAAGAATTCCAGAAATCTGATGATTGTGGAGGACAGTGAATTAGATACCAATATTTTCAGTCCATAATGGAGAGGGGAGTTTGTGGGAAGGGCTGATTATTTGGACAGCATGAAAGGAAGTCACTGAGCGAAATGAGAAGGATGGATGTATGAGTAGCATTCAGAAAGCAGAGGGAAGCTTCTGCCTCTCCATCTCCTGGTGGCCTTATGATTCTTTGGAGACATCTGCAGAAGTGGTGTATTGTCACAGTATGTTGCAGCTTCAGCTCCCATGAGGAGCGCTTTCTTCAAATGGAGATTTTTAGAAATGAATAACAGGACATGTAAAAGTGGGTCTGTGAGTGTCCACATAGAAGGAGAACTCGATGGCATACAGCTCAGAAAAGATGTATGAGGCAGTAAAGATTTTCATTTAGGGTAGGAAAGGAGGGAGGAGGGTCTCTAATTCTCATTGATTTTACATTCGCTGTATTTTGTGACCCCACCTCGTATACACATAGAAAGAATAAAGATTATTTGATTTTGTTCTTCATAACAACAACTTTAAGTACACTTACTTAGTGTAGAGTCTATTCAGAACTACTGTCAGTCACAGTTTTATGGATAATGATCCACTGGCTTTTATGTCACTGACGTTAGAGGACTTCCAATTGAATGGAGAGGCTCTCAGTTAGTACTCTATGGAGGTTCCTCAGCTACTTGTAGCTCATTTATTCTGCTAATGTTTACATAATCTTCACAAGTAACCCATACTGAAAGTAGAAATAATAGTTGCTATGATGCTTTTGAATGAGAACAAGTATACAGAGCCTGATAGATTTAGCAAATAATGTAAATGGATTGCAATCTATAATACAGCATGCTGACTTCAATAAAAGCTCAGATATTGACTGACTTTTCCAATTTGTCATTTGTCACTAATTGGGGACCTTCTCTGACCAGTATACTTTACTGATTTTTAAAAATAACAAAATAATGAGAATTTCATAAAGTATTTGTTCCCTAACCACAGAGCAAGGCAATCACAGTGTGAAAAATGTTAATTTTGAATAAATGATCAATACTTGTAATAGAAAAAAAATCAATAGAGAGAAGTGAAAGCCACTAAATGTAAATTTTATTAATTAATAAATCAAGTTTTATGTGTAGAAAGCTCTATAAAGCAACAACTGAGTGATGACAAGAGGAGTTATTTGTTTTCCTAAATATGTAAATTAATGAAGGATTATAGAGGACCGGGTTTTGATTTTTCATTATGATTTAATAAAAGTCTAAGCTTTAGAGCTGAATTCCAATCACATTATCAATTTTAACTTTGTAAATGTAAAAAGTACATCTTCTTGTACTTTCTTCATCTGTAAATTATAATTTACATAGTTTGATTGTTGGGGTGTTGAATTACATGTAGAAAAATGAAAGCTTCTGAATCAACATTACCCTGTATCTGTAATCCTTTATCCCATTTTGCCCTCATTCATTTACTCCTGTGATGAGACTTGATATAATCCTAGTCTGTATTTTCTAAGCATATAAAGTAGGATAAAGCGGTTTACTATTTTTCCTTTGGGCTCACTCTCATAATTACTTAGGCCTGAGACCATATAGTCTGGCCATCTCACCTCTGCTCCTGTGGGGCATGGGAAGCAGGATACGTGGAGTCTTCTCCATACCTGTAAATGGAACTCAAGGTCATGGCAAAGGTCAGGGCAAGTCAGTAAAGACCACAGGGAAGGGCTGACAGTGCCCCACCCCAGGAAATATCCTGCATGTTGGCCTCCGAAGGTTGGGCCACGTGAAGAGCATGCTTGCTTCACGGGCTGGATGGGGCTTGGCTACCTAACTGCATTCTACTGGGAGCTGCGAGATAGACTGAGTTTTGCCTTTCTAAAAACAGAATGCCCAGCATAAATCCTCCTGTTTACTCCCTACTGTTCTAACTACAGATTAAACTTTTAAGGAGCTGAAAATAAAGCTAAGCAAAAAAAAGTCCTAGCAATGAAAACTAAGCAGTGGTTTGTATATGCATGCATACCTCGGTGTAGTGTACATTCATACACTGTGCCACTGTGGGTGTTCTTTCTCTACTCTGGATGCTGCTGCAATTGAGTTTGCTTCTGGACAATTTTATGATCTTATACGATACAGCAATTAGATGCCAGTGCTCACAGCTTTGACATTGTTCTAAGCCTTCCATGTCAGGTCCACACTCCTGCCTCTTTCCACTCCTTCTGCCTGATATATAGTGGGGTGTGGGGGGGGGGTGTGGGTGGGTGTGTGCTCCTCATTTTCTATCAGATAAGCTTTTATTTTATCTCCAAAATTTAGCTCAAGAGAACTTCTTGTAAATAATCCCAAATCTTTTACTATTTGACATAGTATGTGCTCAAAATATATTGGGTGGAAGATCAATTGTGATGTCATTAAACAGAGGTCTGCAAAGTGCAAATACTAAACACACATGCAGCGGACCAGACTTGGAATAAAGATTTCCCTTAACAGGAAGTGCAACACCTGCAACTGAATTCCCAGGGGGTATACAAGGCCTCCCCATTCCCCTCACCCAGAAGAGAAGGACATCTGAGACTATCTATGGAGCCCAAACACTGTTATTGTATCCAAGAAAGAAGGTGCGACACAGGACCGTGACTGTATGGTGATTTGTTTCTGGCAAGACAGGGCTGTGTATTGTGGTTTTGTGGTGTAAAAGGCAATAGAGAAGGATTTTCCAAAATCTTGTATCGTTCTCTATTTTCTTAATTTGGAATAGGAAGGAATTGTGACAACTGTCTGTGTAAATGACAATCAGAGCACAGACTGACAATGAAGAACACAGGTGCACAGTTGTTCAAAAATTTTGCACGTTAGTTGAGTTTAACACTGAATATAAAATTGCTAAAACTGAGATTTACCTTTTATCAATAGAGATCAACAACTCAAACTAAGGTCTTTTATCAATAACATGAAAAATGTTTTAAAGTGTCTGAGGAGAAAAACCTTTTTTCTAATTTAATATCAGACTTTGAAAATTAAGATAAAGCCTTCAATTCCATTTTTTAAGACTTGGAGAGCAAAAAACAATTGTTTCTCTGGCTATGTGTGGTATTTATGTGGTGTACTGAATCAAGTCAGATATTTAATTACCACTTATTGCTTCGTTTTGGATTAATTTAATGCTCTGAAAAATAGCCTACCTTAATTACATTTTAAAATACAGCAGAATCAAAAAGGCAGACATGGGTGATCCTAGCAATTGAGAGGCTGAAGCAGGAGGACTGCTGGAAATCTGAGGGCATGGTGAGTAGAAGGCCAGCCTGGACTATATTGCAAGGCCCAGTCTTGAACCCCAAAAGCAAACAAAGAAAAATAGTAGTAATAAAGCATTAACAAATCAATTAAATAACACGGAGCAAAATCATAATTTTGTTTCTGGCTCACACCCTTCTTTGGTCTATGTTTTACAGGTTTATTCCCCGCTGTCCTGAATCTTGCTTCCAATGCACTCATCACAACCAACGCAACATGTGGAGAAAGAGGACCTGAAATGTACTGCAAGCTGGTGGAGCACGTCCCTGGGCAGCCTGTGAGGAACCCCCAGTGTCGGATCTGCAATCAAAACAGCAGCAATCCGTACCGTACGTATTTTATATGAATTTCTATGTCACCATGATACAACAGAGAGATTTTAGCACAAGGTGCATTAGCTTCAGAGAGCATGCATTGCTAAGAATTTCTAGACCTTTTCTTTCACTGAGTGTCTTCGTGATCCCAACATCACTTCGAGGTTCCTTATCTGTACCAGGCCCTGTGGTTGGTGAAGACTGCTTAGCTGAACATCCATGGCAATCACTGGATTTCTGTCTCCCAGGGTGAGATTTAAAGATGTGGTTATTCGCTCGGGCTTCAGTTGTTCCTTGGTTGCTTATGTGCCAGGTCCTGTGCTTGAGATTCAAGAGGCATAGCCTTGATTCTTGGCATCCGTGAGAGGACCAAGGAGCGAGAAGCTGCCTGTTGCTCTCTGGTGTGACAGGTTAACAGGAAAGAATGAGCACAGGACCTGCAGAAGAGGTGGGCGGAACAGATTCAGTCTTAGTGGATGCGAAGGCTCACAGGAAGTTAGAACCAAGCTGGTGAACATGCAGGGGGAGCAGTAGAGCAAGGAAAGGGGCGAGGCAGGGGGAGAAGAAGCAGTGTCAGGAGGAGTGATCAGAATAAACAGAACCCTTTCTCAGGGAGCTCGACTAAAATTGTCAGAGGGAGAGCCGAGCGAAGATTGGTCACAGTCTTCCCAGTCCTAGGAGTGCTTTAAAGAGAAATGCCATGCAGGGACCTTTGACTGCCTCTGTGAAGCACGTAGAAATTTAGACTCATTCGTGAATTTATTCAGCATTTAAGTGGAGTGATAGGGAGCATGCAAATTCTATATAAATGGCAAGGTCCTCCAAGGATTCCTGGGAAAAGGTGGGCCATATGCTCAAAAAGCACCAGCTAGTTGGACTAAATGAGGGAAGGCCATTGTAGAGGGAATGGCATTCATAAATCTTTAAAGTATGAAAAGGCGAGGTTTACTCCACGAATCCTAAGTAATTTATTATAATGTGTAATGAATTTGAATGGCAACAGGAAGAATGGTACTAGATAATTTTTAGAGGAAGATATTGATTTAGGGATGTGCAGTAGACAATTATTGTGTGTATCATCTATCTTTACCTATCTGTGTATGTATGTATATATATATATACGTATATATATATATATATATATATATATATATACACACACACACACAGAAAAAAGCTAATAAAGTGAATATATAATAACAATTACGGTAGGTCATGGGAAATAAAGACTCATCATTTATATTGTTTTAAAATTTACTTAGTTAGACCTTTCTTGTCTCTCCGTAAGAGAATAATTTTTAGAGCAACAAAATTAAGAAGATACAGAGATCTCCCAATGTCCCCTGTGCCAACAGATACATGATCTCTTCCATCACCAATACCCACCTTGAGAGTGATATCTTTTTAATGATTGATAAACTTTTGCTAACATATTCTTATCACCTTCAGTTTGCATTAGGGCTCATACTTGGTTGTATGCATTCTGTGAATTTGGACAGAGTTATAACAAAATATATCCATCATTCTAGTATTGTATAGCATAGTTTCTTAACTCTTTTTTTATTTAAAACATATGAAGAAAAGTTTCTCTCAAAATTTGCATGTTTTAGTTACCTAAGGAAAATTGGAAGCATTGTGGATTTTTCTTAGATCCAGATAAGGAGAGCAATACATATCTCTATTGTGGTTAATGTAGGGACACAGAAATTAAAATATTTGGAGACACTCTATAATAATATTAATAGGTTGGTACCTTCATGATTAACTTGATTATCATGGAATGTTAGCAAAAAGCTAAGAAATCTAAGGAGGCCACTGGAATGAATCAGTTTTAATCACCAATTAATGTCAAGTATGCTCATTGCTGTGCTAAGCGTAGAGGAGCCAGGCTTGGTGTACAAACTCCATGGTTTATTGTTTCTTGTATGTAATCATAAGTTCAAAGGGCCTGTGTCAGAGCCCTGGGAAAATATTACAAACTAAGGAAAATTGACAAGTGGAACCCAGGGAGAGGATGAAGAAAAACGGCATTCAAGGCAAGATATCAGAGCCAGGCATGGTTATGGTGAGGAAAGGAAGAATTCTCAGGAAGAAAGTAATGCACACCATTAACTTCTTTTAAGTTATGGAGCAAGACACCAATGCCATAGATTCCCCTTGAATTGGACAGCATGAGAAATTGTGGGTCATGGGTCCCCTTGTTAAAGAGTTGACTAATATTGAAGCAGAAGAAGGAAGAGATGTAGAAATGTTTACTGAACTGTCTGGGTACAAACAGAATAGAGGACATTGGCAAAGGAGAATGGGGGGGGGGTTTCCAAGGACAGGAGACTTGAACAGGTTTGGATGACAAGGGGAAAAGCCCAACACAGTGGAAGACCAAGTGCTCACAGAGGCGATGTTTGTTTTGAGGTAAAAACGGGTAGACCATTAAACATAGGTTTTTAAAAAAGCTTAAATTATGAGATTAATAACATTTAACTGAAAAGATTGGAAATAAGGAAGCGTAAGTAGTAGCCAGCAGAAGGGAGTGGTTAGTAAGAAATGATCTAGACTTCCTTATTAAGCTGCGTGGCTGGGTTATTTGCTCAGGGAAAGACGCAGCTAAATCTAGATTTGCTTTTTAGAGGAATGGGAAGAGATGTCTAGGCTGTGTGAGGGCCGGGTGAGGGTCCCATTGTGGAATAAAGTGCAAGAAGAAAATATCTGGACAGATCTTCATGGAGTATTTCAGGCAATGTGGAATAAGGTGACAAGAAAAACCAAAGCATGACCAGGAAAGAAGTGAATTGATAGACTTGAATTTTAGCTTCATTAGAGAAGAAGCTGTAATCTGATGGAGAGAAACTACCATGAATTCAGGGACTGGCAGAATTAATGATTTCCAGCATGGACATAGTAATAGGGGAATGGTGGGCGGGGAGATGGTGTGGATGTGTAGCTATGGATGGATAGGAGGAGAAGGAGAATGGAATCAATAAAGCATATTAAATTAATATGTGTGCATGCACATACTGTATGTACATATCATTTATAATGTAATAAATAGCTGTTAAATATGATCATGTATATTATAGAATGTTATGAGTGTATGTTTATAGAAATATACACATGTAAATAAATAGATTTATATTTGTACAAAGAGGGAGAAAAGGAAGGCAGTGTGTACTATCACAGAGTCAGGCAAAATAATGCAAGGTCATAATGGAAATAATAGAGTGGAGACTTTTAATTGGAAAAACAGGTAAGATGCGGTTGCCACACTGAGTCAAAGTCCTGTTCTGTTATTCCCTTCAAAGTTCTTTGTTTAATATCCTTTGTGGCTCAGTGGAGGAGATGTAGATACACAATCCCACCCTATGTTATACTGAGGCACTGTGCCCCTTAACGTTAACTTTGTTTGCTAATTTGATGTATTTAGAGATTCCTAGTGATTGACTGGGTGAGTTGAGGGCACTCAACTCGCTCATAGGGTAACCCATTAATAAGTTAATCACTCAATGGGCTATTCAGAGATGGATCTAGTTGGGGGAAGTCGGTCATAGGGGCATGACCTCAGGGATTATAGTTTGTTCTTGGCCCATCACCTTCTGGTTATGTCCAGCATGCTTCGCTTCTCAGCCACTGGTAAGCTGAGCAGCATCCCTCCCTCACACCCTTCTGTAGTGGTGTCTCTGCCTTACACTCAGCCCACCATGAACTGAAACCTCTGAAACCACAAGCCACAATAATCCCTCCTCCTTTACGTTCTAAGCACCAACTCTTCTGTCCCAGCAACAGGAAAGCTGACAGATATAGGCACAGAATTCATCGATTGTTTTACTAAAACATGACACATATAAAGATTGATGTGTGTCTCTCCTTTTTTGCTTACTTATAGTGTTTTTAAGCTTCTCAAGCCCCAATTTGCTTTATTTTTAAATGATCTGGTTCTTTAAATTTCAAAATTATGTTTTGTCACTGAAAACCTAGAAAGAATAGAACCTACAATAATTAAATTTGAGCAGTAAACCATATGAATGTATATTCTTAAAAGCTGAAACAATAGAGAATAAAGATTCCACAAATTTAATGAACTTCTAAAATAAATCTGGATGGACTACACTTAATTACTATAGAAAACAATAAAACTTGAACTTCTGACTGTTAATAGATTGTACTTCCCAATAAAATAACAGCAGTGTAAAAGTTTTACCTCAGTGATTCCCTAACCAGTTTTCAATTGTCGTTAGCCCTCGGATTGACTTGTAGCTCAGCCCTGTTGAGGCTATTATACATTTCTATCCTTTTTTAAATATGGGAACTCTGCCAACAATTAGTATTTGCAAATTAATTATGATTCAGTTTTTAGAATGGGGATTATGGTTAATTGTTGATTCATCTCCCTGTTCTCCTTTTTATGATTAATTCTCACATCAATTTGACCTGAGGTGGCAGGTATCAAAATTTCCAATTAGCTTTTCTCACAATTTCCTAAAAGCTGTGAATTCCATTTGGTAATGTGATTGTGTGTGTGTGTGTGTGTGTGTGTGTGTGTGTGTGTGTGTGTTTAATATTATATGTTAAACCTAAAAACTATGTAGAACACTTAAGAAACTGCTTGGGGAGTGTTTGCTGTGACATTTACTTTTTTTGGTAAGTGATGCCAGCAATATTTCACTTATTCTAACCCCTAACATGCCAATTTCAGTGCCCCTCACACCACTAGGGACTTTTAAAAATATTTAGTTATGCTTCTGGTGTCTGCTGTCCTTATAAAGACAACACCTTTTCTGACTTCCACAGAATTCATCTAGCACTAATTATTAAATATACTCAGCAATTTCACTTTTTAAAATGAGACAGGCTGCCTCATCTCAGTGAACTGTTAGTGACATAAGACTTGATGTAAAATAAGGTCTATCCAGCTGTTTTGCTAAATTAAAATTTTACCAATAAAAATGAAATGTTATCTTGTCTTATGCACTCATTTTGAGATTTAGATTTTAAATATCATACCATAGATAAGTCAAAAAGTTAGTTTTAGGCTATAAAAGATTATTTAAATAAAGTTAATATATAATAAAATTCTCACATATCTAAAAAGGCAAACCTTAGGAATATTCAATTTGTAATAAAACATTTTCAATTAAAGATGATTTTGTTTTACAATTAGATTCACTACGTGAGGAATTTAGCTTCCCTTGATTTTTATTATTTTCAGAATTTTTGTTCAGTGTAAAGTTTCTCTAGTTAAAATTCATATTGATATATATCTTGAACAGATGTATAATTTATTTTATGTATATGCACAATAATATTTTGATTATTAACAGCTGCAGTATTCTTTGGTAACCCTATGAGTAAAAGGTTCTCATTCAAAAATACTTTAGCTGGTCAGTGGCAAAATAAATAAGTAAGAATAGCATGCCACATTTTAAATGTAACTAAAAATAATTGTCCTTTATTTCAATATTATAATGAAAACACTTGGGTTCTAAATGTGTGTTAATTTTTGAGATACAACTTATGCTATATCAAATTGTAGTAAAAATAGATCTGTGGTTACTCTTACTAGGAAAAATAATTTCACAAATCTCTCACATGAATTTTATTGAAATCTTACATTTCTTAAAGTTAGACATCTAGACACCACTGATCTGAGTGGAGTGTACTTTTCCTGTTTCTAGGATGTCACAGAGTTTAAATGATTGATCCATGGTCAATTAAGTACTAAATGGCAGAAGCAGAAGTTGGTCTGTTTTCATATGCCAATCCTCGTATTTCAACTTTTGTGGAAGAGAACAAAAAGGAATTAATATGTCCTATGTACCTTTTACCATGAATATAATAATTGTGTACTATAAACATGTCTTAGTAAACAAGTTTTATGCCCTTATTTATTAGAATATATCATTGTCATTCAGATATATGGGTTATTGAATTATGTAGCAAATTGAGAGGCCATGATGGCTTCTCTCAGTGATGTGATTTGATCATTATTTGAGACATTTTTTTCAATTATAAAGTAGCATTGTGTCCTAATCCAAAAGGTTATTCATAAACCATTCCTTTGAAAACATTTTTTTCCAGGGAATAAATTTCCCTGTGCAAGTTCTCCTGACTGATACTGTAAAGCATACTTAAACCATAATGAACAGACGACACCAGGGAAGCTCAGTTCTTCATGGTTTGCCTGTCTAAGAGCAAATGTGCTAACTTTCAAATGAGCTGTACAAAATTCAGATACAAGTTCATGACAGCCCAGGGAACAGAAGCAGTGCCATCAACAGCAATCTTTACCACAGCCATCCTCACCCACCTGAAGGCTGGGCCTGCTGAGACCAAGAGAAGGAGAAAAGAAACAGAACTTATGCTGCTTAAAAATGAGAGATAAAGACTGGAGGCATAAATCTCAGAAAGCAATCAAAAGTAACGGCACTATTATTTGGAGGAGAGGGGACCCCTACCTTCTGAGGCTTGTGGAAAGGAAAGAACTCCGGGGTTCTCAGCATCTGTCCTTTCCTGCTTTTCTTTCTCCAGTCCTCCCTTTGATTCTCACAAGTTCTCCTCTCAACTCTCTGGAAGATGAGTGAGAGAGGACCCCTGTTTGTGTTGGTAGGATGGAATTTTTTTTGTTGTTGTTTTTCCTTGCTTGCTTGTCATTATTCTAAATACCTTCATATTATAGAGTTACTGATGATGGGGCCAGGCAAATTGTGGATGGGATTCACAGGGTATCTTTCACTGTATTTTAAAATGGTAGAAAATAGCAAGTTAAAGACATGTGGGGAGTCCCATAGGAGGCATGTGACAGCATTTTATATTAAAACCGGATGCCTATTGGATTGCTTAAGTCGTGGCAATAAAGAATGTGTCACAAGAACGAAACTTCACATGCATTTCACCTGCAATTCAGGATGCTACATTTCTGTTAACAAAGTTGATGACATACTAGAGCTGTCTCAGAAGAGTTTTTGCATTTAGGAATGATTGACACATCAATTGGATTTCAATGATTTCTTCACACTTAATTTCTGTATTTATATTTGAAGTTGCCCAGTTTAGTTGATGTTGCCTACTACAATGTACAATGCTATGAAAAATTCATTATTAAAAGAAATTCAATTGAATGTATGAATTGCTCTTATTAAAGTTTCATAGCCACGGAGGATTGTTTTAACTCAATTTTGCTTTTTCTTCTGTACAGAAACAACTATAAACTAATCATATGATCTTTTTTCTCCTCCTTTTTCACTCCGCTGCTGCCTCCATAGAGAGACACCCTATTACAAATGCCATTGATGGCAAGAACACTTGGTGGCAGAGCCCCAGTATAAAGAACGGGATCGAATACCATTATGTGACAATAACCCTGGACTTACAGCAGGTAGAGTGCCTCTTCTCATTTTCCACTTTTGAAACTGCATCTTGCATTTGTCATTTGCTTATCTGGTATCTTCTTGTTGAAAAGATATACCTGCTTATCGCCCTCCTTTATTTTTCTTGACCACGTAAACAAAGGGTCTTTTGTTGGGTGTATAATCACTGAGAAGTATTTTGCACTTATTTCCAAAATACAAGTAAAGTGCATCTGTGTGACTGGTTTAGAAATTAGCTTGGAGCTTAATCGACATGAAGTATTTGGAATTAATGATGAAAATATGGATCAACAAAATTTCATAGGGAGGAAAGAGTTCCATTTTTAACTTTTAAAACCTTGCAGTGTTCCACTCTGCTGATGGTGTGCACTTAAAGGTTCTTGGATAACAAGGCTCTTGAGTAAATTGCCTCTCATTACTGAGTTGAGCAAGCTGTGACAGTTGAGTCTTGAATTAAACTTGGGCCACTAAACAAGGTAACAAGCCTCGTAGTTACATAAAATTGATGTTGGAAGTCAGAGTTTGTGTTGCACAGCCCTGGATGTCTTGTATGCCTAATTTCCTTCTCTCTATTCCGAATGGTGGTCAGACCAGGCTGAAGTTATTAATCACCCTAAATCACCTACAAGTAGAGTTAGGATAGGACTGAAAAAAACGCTCCCATATTTTATAGTTACTAGGAATATGAAGTTTAACTGACCAAAGGCTGAGACTAGATGTTTTGAACTTAGATGATCTCTTTGATTCAGCCTGTTTCTCCTTCGTGCTTTGCTATCTGTGAAGGAAAGAAACTCAGCCATTCTTTCCTGGACCACTGTGGAGAGAGAGCAGCAAAAGTGTTTAGAGATGGGCCTAGGGGAATGGTCAAAATAATGACATACCTCATACTGCCGAACTCATGGTTTTTAAAGGTTGCCATGGTAGGGAAAAGCACCAGCCAGTGACACCAGGCAAGGGACACAACCTTGCTCCTCCAGGTCTCGGACTATTTTGTTGAGAACCACAGACGGTTGGAGAATGAGCAAGCTGGGGCTCCTCAGGACCTGAGAAACTGGGTGGCATGACTGCAGTTAATACCCAGTTGCATGGATTTATTTCCACCTATACCAATATACGGCAGCTGAATGTCAACCCAGAGTTAATGATATTCCCCAAGAAGTCTCAGCATATTGTTGAGGAGTGGCAAGGCAAACTACCGCACTGATCAATCATGCTTTAAGCCAATTAATCCTGTGCTCGGATTCCCAGGAGATCCCAGCCTCAAATTGGACCTTATCCCTCCCAGATAGAGACAGTTTGGTCCCTTATCGACTGCAACATTCTCTCCCTTCTGGTGATCATTGCTAGTCTGCCTTGCCAATCAAGCGTGAGTCTGCTGCCCATTGACCCAGATCATCTCCCAGGATAGGGAATCAATAAATAGTGATGGTTTATTGCTCTGGGTTACTCTCTATTTATTCTTTTAGATTACACATGGAGCCAGAAAGTCAATTATTAATATAATTTGCACAAATCACTTAAGCTACCGTTTGAGCTTGACCACAATATTATTTATTTGCTATCAAACATAGCGGGATATTTTCTTTCTAATTTACAGCTGGACCATGCAATCACAAGTCTTTGATAAATCATTTTTTTCTGACTTGCCTGTCATTAATTTAGTAAGTCAAAGGGCTCTCCTGAAGAGGTGTTTTTTTTTTGTTTGTTTGTTTTTTTTTTTATTTGCAGGAAAGGCTGTTTTAATTTCCTAAATTTGCTTTGCATCCCTGCTCATCCATTCCTGCCTAGTATTCTAACACTTATGATGTGGATTTGTTTCTCTGTTAAATCTTCCTCCCACACAGCACAACAGCCTTAAAATGGATATTCCAGGGCATCTTTTAGAGTTTAGTAATCATGGTATGTCATAGAGTTCTGTTCAGAATCAAAGTCTACAAGACTACCTTGGCTGGAATTTGCCAAAGGGAATTCTACATAATGTAAATGCTCTAAGCTCTCATATTCTAAATTGGTGCCCAGCCTTATCCTTATTTAATTTAGACTTCACATCTTTTTTACAAATCATCCTGTGTGTTTATAATAAGGGAAACACATTACACAATGAATAAATGCTTACTTCTACTTGTCTCAGGGTTATAATTCAGTGAGTTATTTAATGATGCATGAATTCAAGCGGGTTTTATAAGAAAAGACTTTTTTATGGAATTTTTTGGACCAAAAGAGGTTTCACACTTCTGATTTGGCCTTAGATATTTGAATAATAAACTGTGGACACACTAATTCAGCCATGGAACAAATCTAAAAGGGGGAATATTCTAATACTTTAGCAACAGAAAATGTGGATATCCTTTGTGATGTTCCTTATATCACACAATAATCCTTTAAGGCAGCTGGTATTGTAATTGTTATTTAACAGCTGATGAACACTGAGTCTAATTTAAGTGACCTGGGGATAGATGTCATCCTCAATATCATCTTCAAATGCAAACTATGCCAATATTTTTAATGGGAATCCTAGAGAGTTTATTAAAACTTTTTTTCACTATATTTTTGAAGGATCCATACATAGTTTGAGTTAAAGAAATACCCCACTGTATTCTCTTTCTTTCTGTGGGAGAAGGTAGCCAACATATACTTTGGCACAAAATGCAGTTAGGTCTCTCATTTTTCTAGTACACAGTTTTATGCCTCTGAAATGGTGTAACTTCTTTCTCCTTACAGCATGAAAAATTGAAAACTTATTCAGTATTATTAGGTATTATCCAGCTGGGAGTCAAGGGAAATATTGTTGTAAGGAAAAGGCAAATATCTCCAAATGTTTATTTGTCATTGATTCAGCAAGAGGTTTGACCATTTATTAGTTTTTTTAATTTTGAGATGTATGATACTTGACTTATGCAAGTGTTTTGTTGATGTGTACGTGATTCATCTCCTTTAATTACTACTTGAACTATAAACAACAATCATTAGATTGTCTTGATTAAATCATTAAAAAGATTATACTGGGAAATTTCTTTCCCATTTTAACATTCAAAATAAGCACTAGGAAAATAAGTCTCTTTTTCAGACGAAAGTATTTCCTTGTTTTATAAGCAGATTGTTCTTAGACATTTTCTGCTAAGAGATTATTAACTTTTCCAAAGTCTATTTACTCAAACATATCTTGAAAAGATGATTTAATCATGCTGTGCCTCAATATATAAATTAGCAGAATAAATATCACAGTATCATGGCAAGAAATTTGAAATAATGATAATAGCAGTATAATAACTAAATTCCATCTGGCAATTATAGCCATTATTAGGATCTAAAATTAACATAAACTTAAACAGAAGCCTAAATGTTCCAGTGATATACACACAAAAACCAATGAAAATGGCACATAAAAATAAGCAGTTTAAAGGATAATAACCAAGATTCAAGAATAGTAAAATGCCCAAAACGTCCTAATTTAGTCTTTTTTCCAACAAGATATCATGAGAATAATATGATGTTTTATCTTATTCTATGAAATTTTTAATATGGACATTTTCTCAATCCTGTCCTTTGATTTGTTTAAGAGAAAAGCTGATTGGTTTAAAATAGAATGCACAGAGGAGCAGTTTTCTAGTAGACTTTGTAAATATCTGTTGATACAATGGTGATTCCTCGGTAGCCCTGGAATGCTGTGGAATTAGTTACACTTGGGTGCAGGAGTCTTTTCCAGTTTTAAGCAGTCTACTTCTATTCCTGATTCCTGAACACACTTTTATCAAATAAGATTTTCTTACAGAGTCAGAGGTTGTATATACCATGTGCTTGACCTAATTGTTTCATCCATTGGAAGACACATATTTAGGGCAATGTGTTAACAATTTTAAAATAATTATACTAAGAAGGATGATGAATTAGTATTTCTATATACATATATTATGCTTTCATAATCTAGGTGGTTATCAAAGACAATATTTTTCTTAAGGCCTGACTCATTAATGTAGTGGTTGAATCTATACCTATTAAAACAGCGTGAAATACATTGAAGCACTTCATTGAGTCATTTTAATATACTAAGATTGATTAGTTTTTATGCTGAAAGATCATTTTCATCTCATATGAAATTTTTAGTTTTTCCACACTCTTCTTATGTGTTTTGTTGTTTAAGTTCAAATTGCAGACTATTTTCAAATACATGTAATTGAACAAATAACTGAATTAATAGTCAAGAAAACAATAGACTGAATTAATAGTCAAGAACTGAAAATAGTCAAGAAACAATAGACTGAATTAATAGTCAAGAAAACAAATTAAGAAGAATTTTTAAAACTATATCTTGAAATAAACAAAAATGAACAACAGTTACAGAGTTTAGGAAGTACAGCAAAAACAATTTTAAGAAGAAAGTTTAGTAGCAATAAGCATCTACATCAAAACAAATAAAAATGTTAAATAAACCACCAACTATTACATGATGTGATATTTTATGTACAGAAAACCCTAGGAAAAATATGTGAGAACTAATAAATTCAGCAAAGATGCAAGTTACAAAATGTCACAAAATATCAGTAGTATTTCTATGTATTATCAATGAATCTAAAAATGATATGGAGAAAATCATTTACAATAAAATAAAACAAAATCTTATATCTTATAATAAGTTAACCACACCTACATACTAGGTATATAAAAGATAAATAAAAAAGTAAAAAACATGTAAATAAGTGGAAAAATATCCTGTATTCACAGGTTGGAAAATTATATTGTGGAAGTTCCCATGCTTTAGCCCAAGATCTCTGTTAAAATTCCAGTGATAGTTTTATAGGAAAAAATTCTGAGTCTTGTATGAGACTACAAAAGACACTGAACAGTTGAAGCAACGTTACACACAGAGAACAGAGAACTAACCATTATTTAATTTGATGTCAATATATACTATGAACGTATAGCATAAAATAGTGTAATACTGGCATAAAAGATGCATAGAATAATAGAAGAGAAGATAGAGAGCCTAGAAATAAATCCACATATTAAC